TTTTAAAGCTTCTTGTGGTTGTTGCCCAATAAATCTCTATAAGAATTTTTTTTTATTTTTTTTTGTGTAGTCAGTTTCTTCAGTCTCTCAAATAAAGAAACCTTTATCCACGACTTAGCTCTTCAACCAAAACACGAAAGCTGTTCGCAAACATTTCAATTTATTTGCTTAACCTACCTCCAGCAAAGTAATTGTTCAGTTCCCCCTTTCAGCCCCCTACAAGCAATTACATATTATTACAAGTGACGCCCAACGTGGTAAGCAAATTAAATTCTTGCAATTTTGGGTCATGTATTATCAAAGTAAACGTTAATTGTTCTTTAATCCAAATTGTTGTTAAGATGGAAGCAGGTTACTTCAGTTTTATAGGCGTTAGGTCAAAGTCTCAATTTTTGAAAGTAACTCCCCATAACTTCTAGGTTTTTTATCAGAATATTTTTAACCTCTTCTAGGGATTTTCCTTTATTAATAAGGTAATAAACAGTGGACACTACGCCGAAATGCATTTTAGTAGAAGCTTTAAAAACAAAGACATTAAATGCATTTTCAAGTGCTACTAAAACTCGGCGCCAGTATTTTAAAAAGTTTTCGCATCCATTACGTTCTGGAAAAATTTCAATACGCTTATATCTGCAATGAAATATTCGTAAGTACACTAAATTTAAAAATAGTTATCTCGGCAAAAAGTTCTATTTCGCAGCCTACGCCAAACAATAACTAACTTTTTATTCTCCCCATTTACAATCATCCATATATAAACTCTGAAAGGTCGTATCCCGGCGTCAATGCTGTTTCCAAAAAACAACAACCCCCTTCTACCCCGTAGTGCTGCCCACTGTTCCGCAACCCCGTCGAAATATTGCGTTTCATGTTGGCAAAAGTTCATCGGGAAAATCCTAGTAGTAGGCTGTGATGGGACAATTGCGTCGCTTTGCCGCCGAGACGACGCGGCAACACGACGCCTCATATTCTTAGGAAGATGGTAACTCGCTGAAATCTGGATCGAACCAAAGTATATCTTACTATATTTACTTAAATCGAGGGAATCTTGAAACGGTGATTGAACTTGTGAAAAACTTAAACTTCTACCTTTACATCTTTTCTTTAAAAAATTATTTCCTCTTGATTTTGGTATTTTTACTTTTATGTTTATTCAGTTGTAACTTCTTAAGATTCTAGATTTGTTTTATGTGGTATTACAGGTTTTGTTAAAGCTCTTGTTAGAGATAATTCGCAAATTTAAAAATACGGTGTTTTCGTTCCATTTTATCATAATTAATAAACGTTTATTGGATGGAGTAACTTTAATCTTTTTAAAATATTTTCCTTTTCCTGGGATTATTGTACTTTTTTACCTTATTAGTGCAGTGTATATTCCAAATGAAACGAATAATACTTTATTTTGTTTTCCCAGATCGCTACTCATACGGCGTACATTTGTTAGCATAAAATTTTAAACTCGAAATATAATTAAAACTCGGGCTTCATATTGCCGCCAATTCCCGATTTCTTAATTCCATCGGCCATCCTTAAGACGTTCGTTATATGTCCAGCCCATTTCCATTTCAATTTAGCTGCCTGTTCTACAGCATCTTTTACTTTTGTTCTATTACGAATGTCTTCATTGATTTCATGGTCTTTGAGTGAGAACCAGCATCTGTCTTTCCATAGCTCTCTGATTTTTCTGATCTTCTCTATATTTTTATTTTTAAATACGTACGGGAGTCTTCCGAATGCTGCCCATCTCATTTTTACACGCTTATTTCGGTATTGTATGATTTTCTTTGCTTACCTTGACATTTTGACCCAAATATGTATATTCATTAACGTGTTTTATCTCTGTTCCTTCGATGTTTATCATAGGTTTGTCATCTTTGTGTGACATTAGTTTAGTTTTGCTGAAATACATTTTTAGTCCTTTTTTTAGGGATTTTTTGTGTAGCTCCTCAATCATCGTATTCAGTGCATTCCACGTGTCGGCTATTAGTACTACATCATTTGCGTATCTAAGATGGTTCAAGTATCTTCCGTTAATAGGGATTCCCTTGTTTTCCCAGTTGATATTAACTTAAAGATATCTTCTAGGGTAGCTATAAATAATTTTGGAGATATTGTGTGTCCTTGTCTTACTCCTCGGTTGGTATTTACTGGTCTTGTTTTGATTCCTTTATCCAACGTCACTATTATTTCAGCTTGTTCGTAAAAAATATGTATTAATATTCTGTACCTTGAATCGATTCGGTTGTTGACTAATGCTTCTTCTATTGCCCACAGTTATACGCTATCAAAAGCTTTTTCATAATCTATAAAAGCCAGACAAAATGGGAGATTGTATTTGTTAGTCTTTTCTGTTCTGTTAGGATTTTCAAAGTATATAGATGGTCACAGGTGCTATACCCTGCTCTAAATCCGGCTTTTTCTACTGGGATACCCGTCAAATTTAATTTTTAACCTAGTTGTAATAATCTTTGTAAAGGTTTTGTAAAGTTGTGAAAGACGTGTATTAGTATTGTTTTAGTAGTGTTCCATAGTTCCATATGTGATGGCTTTTTCTCTGCCTTCCTTCAACATTTCTGCTAGGATTCCATCGCTTTCAGGAGCTTTATTCCTTTTTATTTCTTTTACTGCTCTTTCTATTTCTTCGTGGAATATTTCGGACATCACTTCTGAGTCAGAACTCGTCGTGATTTGCATTTTGGGGATCATCTGAATATAGACTTTGGCAACATTTTCTTTATACCTCCGCAAGCCCACTTATATTTAATCCCATTATTTAATCTTATATTGAACGAGGTTGTAAAACAAATAAAAATAGAAAAATGATACAAAATGAAACAAAGACAGAAGAAATAAAGATAATATGCTTCGCCGACGATACAGCTATAACAGCAGAGAATGAAAATGATTTAAAATAAATGCTACACCAGTTTAATACCAAAACCACAACATTTAACATAAAAATATCAGAAAGACTAAAACCTTATAGCAATATCAAAAGAATTAGTAAGGTGCAAACTTGAGAATGAAAATCAAATGTTAGAACAACAAATGAAATTTAAATATCTCGGAATAAACTTATCTAGCGACAATAACATTAAAAAGGAAAGTAAGTTAGCAATTAAGTAAGTTTAAAGACACAATATGGAGAAACAATCACTTCAAAACTAAAGCAAAATCGATAATATAGAAGTCTGTAACCCAACCTGTTATAACATATATTGCAGAAATAAGGCCAGACATACGCACGACAAGATATTTTTAGGCAAATAAAATGAGAATTATGAAAAGAATAACATGAAAGACACTTCTAGACAGAACAAGGATTAGTTAGATTAGAGACCTAGTCAGAATAAACAGCATTATTTAATATTGTTCTGAAGCTATTTTCTTGTGGCATTGTAAATTAATTACTATTAAACTGGGAATAAGCCACAATTAAAGATAAAAATACGTTTATTGACGTTTCAATTTCCACTTCGGAAATCGTTCTCAAAATACAAACAGTAAATTAAACAAATTTTGTTTTTTGTTACATAGTGAAAAATTCTTCTAATAAGTTAATTTTATCTAACTCATTTATATTGACAATTCAGACATACATTATGCATTTTAAAGTAGACGACTTTAAAATGATATTGCCAATATTGTTGAGTTGCGCTCGTGGGACGACTTTACTTATAAGATAGTTCATTCGATTACATGAAATCAACTTTAACTTGAGAATATCCGTCAGAAAAAAAATCATAGCATGTAATTCGTCTTTAAAAAGACAAACACATAACATGATGACAGTACAATTCTCCTGTTAGTGATTCCATGGTAAATTATCAGGGTAAACCAGGAAAAAAACCTCATAATACTATCCCGACATTGTAAGTATTTTTTCGTGAATTTAGTTTACCTTCAAAAAACATCAAAATTCTGATTTTATATGTTACGTTATTTAAAAACATAAATGATGTATTCTCTATATGTTACTGACTTACTAATACTGGTATTTTCTTATTAATAACTTCCTCTTTCAATATTGGTAACCAGATCCTACTACATTCTGCCGAGGAATTTGCGACACAATTGGCCTCATTTAGCATAATTAGAGCCGCTTCTTTGATTTTTCTTTTTTTACCATCCGTTTCTTTTAGGACTACATTTGAATTATTCCATTGAACCCTATGTTCATTATCCCATGCGTGTTTACAGATTTGAGATCTATAAAATTCTTTATTTTTAATATAAGATTGATGTTCACTTATTCTAACATTTAATGGCCTTGATGATTCACCTAAATAAAACTGATCGCATTCACAAGGTATTTTATAAATGCAATTCTTTGTCCTTTCTTGTTCATTGTTAGGTTTAGTTTTGGACAAAATAGATCTCAACGTGTTTGTTGTTTTGAATGTTGTTGAAATTTTGAATTTATTTCCTATCCTTTTAAGTTTTTCTGATAGTCCTTTTATGTACGGTATTGTTATTTTCCTCATATTATTCCTTGTGTATGCTGTAGGATCTCGTTCTAAGTTGTTCTGTTTTATTCGATCGATTGTTGAAAATTCCTTATTTATAAACGATAAAGGATAATCATTTTTTAATAAAACAGATGTTAATTGTTCTAATGAAAATTCGTTCTTGGAGGAGAAACATTTGTTAACAATTGAAAAAAAGGCACAGGTTATCAACGAAAAAGATAAAATAATAATATTCTACTAGGGTAGGAGGTGATACCGAAGAAAAACAGGCAATTGTCATGCTTACATGAAAGTAGAAGAAGAATACTTTGTTATAAAAATTGTCAGACTAAAATTAAATATCCCTCTCGGTAAAAACAACTGTCTAAATAACTACAAACTTATTATTTTTACTGCATAAAGAGTTGTTTCCTTTGTCCTGTAAATAATCACGATATATCATTGGTTCTAGGAAGATAAAACTTTAATACACCAGGTTCCACTAATTCCTACTAATACTACAAAATAATAATAACAAAATAATTAACTTACCTATGTTGTAAAGACTATAACAAGTTTTATGCAAGGCACCGGAATAAAATTCCAATCCTATTATGGCAAAAATAACAATGGCGAATAATACCAAAAGTCCAATTTGAAGTAATGGTGCCATAGCCTTGATGATAGACTTCAAAACTACCTGCAGGCCTAAAAAAAGAATTTTCAAAAAGTAAACTGTTGCAACTATAAATATAATATAAATTGTTTTGTACATATGAATTTAAGGTAATAAAAATAGTTAAAAAAACTTTAAAAGCCAATTTTTTTATAATACTATTCTTTAAGTGTATTAAGTCTGTCATAGTCTTTTAATTTTTTTTTATTTGTTATTTAGAATTCTCTCTTTAATCTGTTATGCAAACTCTTCTTCTTGTCAGCTCTCCCTGAGTGAATAACTGATCGTAAGTTTCATTTAGCTTTAATCTTCTATTAGTAATACCAATTTTTCGTTATTTTTATCATGATTTTTACCATAGTTAACATGTTTTACCCACTAAACCACCAATATATTTGTTCTTAAAGTGTCTATTTTTTTATGTCAGTGTCTGTATCTAGGCACAAATCGGCCTCTAGTATATTCCTCAAACTTGTGTGTTCTTATGGAACCTTCTCAGTTATATATTTTATTTATTATGATAGGTACATCAACATAATAATAATTGCTATCTAGTCAGCTTAGGACATGTATTTTTGTGCATATTCTTCACTTTCTTTTCATCATTATTGTCTTACTTCTCTAGTCGTCAGAGAAAATGCCAAATGAACCTCTAAAAATCATACAAACAAGCTAAATTTTGCCGAGAATATTAATTTTGGGACCCCAAAAAAATGCAAAAAGTTTACCACTTTTACCCACGGTAATCGAATCGATTTACTAAGAATATGTACGCCACAGAAAAAATGTCTTAAACAAAAAATATAGCTAAGATAATTTTAAACAAAATGTATTAGCACTTTTTATATAGGATAAACCGTTCTCTCACAAACAATGCTTGAAGCGACCGTCAATTTTAAATGTCAGTTAGCCAAATCTCTGACGAGGTGGAAGAAGAACCTGATATACTCGAAAATTAAATAAGACAGGCTATCAACAGGCTCAAATATAACAAAGCACCAGGTCCAGATATGATAACAGCAGAAATGCTTAAAGCCACAGAAGAAACCGGCGTAAAGTTACTTCATCTACTCTGTAACCAAATATGGCATTCCAAACAATGGCCTGAAGACTGGACAAAATCTACAATAACGACCATACATAAAAAAGGCAGCTTCCATAAATGCGACAAATATAGAGCTATCTCTCTTATATCCCATGCCAGCAAGATAATGCTACATATAATCAATGAGAGACTGAAAACATTCCTTCAAAGAGAAATTCCACAAGAGCAAACTGGATTTACCAAGGTAGAGGCACTCGAGAACACCTGCTGAATGTAAGACAGATAATCAAGAAATCTAGGGAATTCAAGATCCCACTATACATCTGTTTTATAGATTACCGTAAAGCGTTCGACAGGGTCAAGTGGAGACACTTATGGCGAATACTAAAAGAAGTAGGCGTACCACAACATCTAATTACGCTTATAACCGAACTATATGAACACACTACTGGATCAGTTAAAGTACTTGACACACTTTCGAACGAATTTCATCCAGAATGGGGTGTCAGACAAGGATGTATACTATCTCCACAATTATTCAACATATATGGGGAGTATATTATGCGAAGAGCACTTGAAGGATGGGAAAAGGGCATCTCAATAAATGGTCATAAACTAAATAACCTACGTTTCGCAGATGACACAGCCCTTCTTGCAAATAGTCAAGCAGAGCTGATAGAACTTATACGACTGATCGAAAACGAAAGTCAAATATTTGGTCTGCAATTAAACATATCAAAGACAAAGATCATGATAGTGGATAGACTACACAACAATCATCCACGCATAACCACAATTGACCGGTTCGAGGTTGTGAGCTCATACTTATATCTGGGATCATTAATCACAAACACAGGGTCATTACAAGAAGAGATTAAACGTATATCTGATCTAGTAAAAGTTGCCACAGCAAAAATGACCAAAATATGGAAGGACTGTCAAATTTCAAGAGCGATAAAGATGAGGTTGATCAACTGCTTAATATTCCCAATACTGACCTACGGATGTGAATCTTGGACTCTGAGACAATCGGAGAGAAGAAAGATAGACGCCACTGAAATGTTCTGTTGGAGACGAATGTTACGAATTCCTTGGACCGACCGCAGAACAAATAATTCAATTTTAAAAGAGCTAAAAGTTAGCCAACGACTCTCTAGTAAAGTCCATCTCCAACAATTAAAATATTTTGGGCATGTTATGAGAGCAAACACAGAAAACATGAAAAGACTCATAATACAAGGAAAGGTAGAAGGCCGAAGATCACGAGGAAGATCCCCAACAAGATGGATAGATCAAATTACAGGAATATGCCAAAGACCTATGCATGAATTAAAAGAAATGACCAGAGACAGAGATCTCTGAAGACGGACAATACACGACATCACGTCGACCACCACACTCCCCCTGGGGGGTCAGGATTGAAGAAAGAGATGCGCACGAAATCAATGTTCAATAAAATTTGTATGCGCTCGATGGTAAAAATTCAATATCTCATGATTCAAGTGTCCTATCCACAAAAATCAAGATGCGTTTTAAAGATAAAGAATTCAGCTTTTTTATTATCTTCTCGCAAATAAACTAAGATTTTATAAAGGTGTTAAATAAATAAACGTAGCGTTATTTCAGCCATTTTTATGATTTTCATGAAATCAATACAATCTAGCCCTTTCATTAACTGACCCCTATGAAGTTTTAATTATTAGAGCCTAACCTTCAAAACTTATGCATGAAATTTTAGTTTTGAGTTTTGGCAACAAATGTGAGGCATTTAAAATATGCTTAAAAAACGCTGGATTAAACTTTCGCATAACAAACGATCTAAAACGTTTAAAACTTTTTTCTTTAATAACACTAGTCCGGTTTTCAAAACAACCAAACTTCTGCTATAAAATACATCCAAAGCCGCCTTCTTGGAAGCATTTTCCGTAAGATGCGATCGTTTGTAATGTAAAACATTACAATCATTGGTTTTAAAGAATGATCTTCTTCTTCTTCTTCTGGTAGCACTACAACCCGGGTGGGTCTTGGCTGACTGCACAACCTGCTTCCATCTCGAACGGTCGTCCATGATGTTTAAGTCAGTGAGTAGCCCCATTGTTCTCAAATCTGACCATATATTATCTCTCCATCGCATTCGTGGACGTCCTAAGGGCCTTCTCCCTGTCGGGACTTTTTCCCAGATTAACTTGGTAAGGCGGTTATTAGGGAGCCTATGAACATGACCAGCCCATCTTAGACGTTGGGATTTAATCTCTTTTACTACGTCACTAGCACTATACATTTGTTCGACCTCGGCATTTGTTCTCATTCGGTATTGGTTAGTATTTGGATCGTGATAGGGACCGAAGATCTTTCTGAGGATTTTTCTCTCAAAGCATCTGAGTGTACTAAAAGAATGATCTCTAAAAACGGAAATTTTATTACGACTGGTCAATATAAGTAATCACTTTTATTGATATCACGAGAATCGTAAAAAATGTAAAAAATCTCGCCACGTTTATTTATTTATTTTAACGCCTGTATAAAAACAGTTTATTTTTGGCAAAATACGGAAACTGCATACGAAATCGGAACTCTTTTCCTTTAAAGCGCATCTTGCACTCTTATCAAAAGATCTCGAACTTTTACCGTCAAGTTCATACAAATTTTACTGAACATTGATTTCGCGCGCGTAACTTACATTTAACATGGACGATCGCATCAAGCGTTGTTTCTGAGAGAACAGTTTATTCTACGAAAAAAGTGCTAATAAATGTATTTGTTTAAAATTATCTCAGCTACATTTTTATTTGACATTTTTTTCTGCAGATTCTTGGTAAATCGATGTTTTTTTTCGTTTTTACCACCCTACTAGGGGTGTTTTAGGCAGAAGCTAGAGAGTAAAATTAGTACATTTTTTTTGCACCTTTCTTGTGGTCCCAAAATTAATATTCTCGGTAAAATTCAGTTTGTTTGTATGATTTTTAGGGTTTAACTCTGTGACGACTGGAATAAACCTGGGATATGAGACCTCCTTTAGTCTGGCATATTTTTTTTAGTCATTGACTTTTTCAGTTGAGACCTTACTCTTTGCCTTTCTTATTTCATCTCTCGTTTTCTAGCTTTTGTATCTCAGAATATGTCTAGTAAACAACAACCATTCTTCTCCTTCTACTGGACGTATTTGTAAAATACCTTTTAGTGTGATTTTAATAACAATCAAGCCATTTTTTATGTTAGATCTGGAAGTTCTATATTGAGCATTTGTCTTTCAATAGATCGATAATATTTTTCACTTGCTTTTCTATATATCTTTTTTCTAATTTGTTTGTAAAACCACGTAGAACATATTGACTGAAGATCATAATTTTCAAATAATGAGGTATTGTTTATTCTTCAGTAGATAAGATAGTTTAACAAATTTGTCACAAGCAAGTCTTTTCTTTTTTTTTTATTTCCTCAATATGATTTTCTTTTTCCAGCTTTGTGATTGACTTTAAGTATTTGATTACTTCTTCCATGTCTGTTTATCCTACAGTCAATTTGAGGCATATTTCTTAATTTGACTTGATGTTAGTTTTATCACAGTTCATCTTCAATCCTACTTTTACTGATTTCTTATTTAAATTTTTATTTATTCAAACTAAAACTGTTTGTAATCCACTAAATATAAGTTCTATATAGATAAACTAAAATAGATCTTGTAATATCAGCAAAAATATTTAAACATTTAGGTTTTGTTATTTTTATCTATTTAGCAAGAACAGATCAGGATATGTCAAATAATTTGTAATGTTGCAACCATTCATCAATGTTCAGTACGTTGCTTAAAAGTAACATCCAAGCATATACGTGTTATTTTTCTTGTTTTTGAATCATATATATTCTTTTATTTATTTAAAATTCTTTATAAAAAGTATATAATTAAAACACCTAATGGGCCTACGCCATACAATCATCAAAAGATGGCAGAGCGACTGGTCCTGATGAAATTCCAACTGAAATATA